AACTAAATGATTAAAAAAGAAAATAGGCAGCTACATCTTTCATGAAATGTGCAGACTGAGTTTCTTAATTCTACTGGACATTAACCGATCTCCTTACAAACACCATATTTTTTACTTCCCCCGCCCAAAAAAAGTGGGTGGAAATGTCTGTGCGTCTTATACAGTGAATATTGTGGTGGGGGGAGAGGGTTGGTGCGGGACCGATCAGCTGTTCTAGAATGGGCTGTGGCGGCAAACGGGCCATGGCAAACAGGCCCTGGTGAACGGGCCGTGAGGCCAAACAGGTCATGGGGTGGACAGACTGCGGGGGTGAACAGGCTGTGACGGCAAGTGGGCAGTGGCAAACAGGCAGTAGCAAATGGACCATATGAATACCGGATGGATGCTGGGAGGCAGTGGCAGATTTTTTTTCCTCCCCAAAATCTAAGTGCATCTTATAGTCTGGAGTATTTTATAGTCCAAAAAATATGATATATATTCATTGTTGCTATAATTTAGTACATATCTACTGACCACCATTTTGCATTTTGCATAAAACCTCAGTGCCTTTGTTTATTGTGAGGAAGGCATTTCTACTTTGCAGAAAATAGCAGCAAATATTTGTAGAACATTCTGCAAAATAGCCTTAAAAGGGGTAATGAGGACAAGAGTTTGATTTTTCTCTGAAAGGGACCTTTCAAGAAATCCTGTAGAAGTGACAGTAAAGTTCCCCATTCATCTCATTTGGGAGTTTAGCTCAATGTTACAACTCTCAGGTGAGGATGTAACATGTGCCTTGGAAGTCTCTTATCCTCAGGATATTACTTGAACATATCTCTAAGTATAAGGCACAACTTCTCATAGTTGTGCTCTGAAGCCCATCTAGATATCTTTGAAAAAAATGAAATTTTCAGTCAATCCAAGGATTTAAAAGGAATTTATGGAAGTCAGAAAAGATACTATGGGGACTGAACCTCAAAAGTTGAAAAAACCCTGCTTCCCGATCCTATACCTGTCTCATAATTGGATCTATGATGTACTAAACTGACTTGGCTCCACCATAATGAATGGGAATAATAGTAAGAGACTGGTGAACTCTTTTGGAGTCAAGGTTCTTATTGGCATTGGCTGTCAAATTCTGCATAATTATTGGTTGGGGGAAAAAATAGTAAAGCATTTGTCCAAAGTTAAGCCATGAAATTCTTCTCTTGCTTTAATTAAATTATATAGAAGTGAAAATTAAAGTCATTTCTATATAACAATTGGTTTATCAAATGAAGCTTAAAATAGAAAAATGATGCTTTAAAAGATTATCTCTCAATTGGAGCATGCTTTTATGAACTCTGTGATTCTGTTCCAAAACTAGCCCTGAAGAATATTTAAAGTGGAATTGAAACATCTGCCTTCTCCAATGGTTGGAATACAAACTGTCCATCTTCAAAATCCTCCCAAAACATTTTAAGCAAACCCAGTAACTAAAGAGAATACAGGAGACATCCACAATATATAAGGTAAAGTTAGTAACAAGCTCTATGTAGGACAATCAGGTAGAAAACTAACAGTCTGCATCCCCCCCCCCAAAAAAAAAAACAATTGGTCAAAAGATATGATAAAAATTATTTAATCTCATAATATATGAATAGAGTCAGCCATTGTTTCAACTGGCAAACAACATTTTAGATCAGACCAAATTGAAAAATACTAGGGAATTTTTGGATGCCTGGCATTCAGACAAATAAGCCATCAGTAGACTCATGGAGATAAATCCTATTTACATAGCATTTTAAAGACACAATTAAAACCCTAGAAAGGGAGGAAACAGTCTAGAATACATCCCTTCAGGATCCAATATCCAGATAATCAAGAAACAACATTCTAATCAAGAAATGATAGGATGAAGCCATACCCCCATCAAGACTGGATGCACAAGATTCCTTAAGCAGTCAACAAACCACATTCTCTGGACAAGTAATTAAATATCTTCAAGAAAATAATAAAACTCAAAGAGCACAAAAACCCAAATAAATAATTAATTATTTGAATAAATAATTTAATGATTTGACAATTTGTAATTGTTATTTAAAATATTTTGATCGTATTTTTAAAAACACAATTTTGATCGTGTTTTTAGTTTTATGATACTCTATTACAGGGGTCCCCAAACCCCAGGCTGCGGCCCACTTCCCAGTCTTGAATCTTTCAGAACCGGACCATGGAAGTGGTGGGCGAGCACATGCACATTCCCACTCCCATGAACAATGGGTGAGTGCAGGCACAATGTGCTTCATTTGCACAAGCGGTGGGTGTAAGCACCCGCTACCCATGGAAATGAAGTTGAATGTGTGCACTGCTTGCCCACTGCATGTGCAGAACCATCCCCTTTCCACCACACCACCAGTCCACAAAGCCAAAAAGGTTTTGAGAACTCTGCTATACTATGTTGCTGTTATTTATACTGTTTGGAGACTTTGTAGATGAGGGGTGTCAAACTCAAGGCTTGCGGGCTGGATCCGGTCCACAGGGTGCTTAAATCTGGCCTGTGGGGCCGGCCTGGAAATAGCAAAGAACAAGCCCACGTTGCCTCTGGCAGCCAAAACAGGGCACAAGGGAGCCACACGCCACACACGTTCCCCCACCCCATTTTTGGCCTGGATGTCCTCCAGCATCCTGCCAGCCAAAACAGGGCACGGGGGGCTGTGCACGTTGCCTGTTTTGGCCGGCAGGGTGCTGCATCCTGTCTCTCCCCCCAGCCAGCTCATGGAGGAGAACTACAATGCTGATCCAGCTCTCAAAAGTTTGACACTCCTGTTGTAGACTAAAGTGGCTTATATATGGATAAATTAGTATTCTTAATTCTGATATCACCTGAACCAAATTTGTAACTTTGGAATCCATTGTGGATTACATGAAATTTCCAAATCATTTTCTTATTACTTGTAATTCTTCTTGGTTACTGCCTGAACTTTTGTGCTATAATGGAGTATCAAATATATATGAACTATTTCTCAGACATTCTATGTTGAAGAAAGGTTAGGATCACAGTTATAAAAAAGTCCTATCCACAATTTAAAGTAGATGTTCCAAACATGGATCAGAGTGAATTTAGGATCCATATCCTGAAAGCATGGAATCTGACCATGATTGCTATTTGTATTTGACTCAAATGGGCATAAATATCTCTGCAGTATGAATCAAAGATAGTAATGAAACTTTGCTTTTTCTCTCCTCTTTTTAGATATATTATGAGTTCACAAGAATAAGTTCATACAGAAGACTGCAGTAGATTTTTCACTATATATTGCAGGAAAAGAGACAGAACAAAATTTTAGTAATTTATTTACATGCTTGTTTTGTCAAATTGCTGTACTTAGAGAGGCCATTTACACATTACAGAAAAAGAAGAAATAACTCACCAAGGAAGAGGATAAAAGAGGACACAGATTTTCAGAAAATGTTCCTATGCTAATTTGGATGTATATATGTGTTTAGAAGTAATTGGCATACTTTAAATAGAATTGAAATACATCTCTGGAACTCAGAAGATGTGTACATCTGCTCTGTCTGCTGTCCAATGCTAATTCTTGAAGTACAACATGAAATTAAAGTACAACCACTATATTCTCTTTCTAGTTTGTTTTTGTTTTAACATTCATCTCGATTTGAACTGGACAACCTTTCAGATAGATTATACCTTCAGATAACCAGGAATGGTAAAGAGCTATTTTGGCTTTTGAGATAGAATTTGAATGCATACAAAAGAGTGTGTATATTATGATAAGCATGCATAAAGCACATTACATTGTGAAAAACCACTTATAAAAATGCACACTTTAAAAGTACATAAAAATAAACACATAAGAAATGTTCAGGAAATGAATTTTCATATGGACTCCACTGATATAGAAGTATGACTATACCACCTTTAGAATAGGATGATATAAAAATGAAAGGTTATGTTATGTATAGATTATTTTTATTCCAAATGGAGACTACAGAACCAATCATCAATTGGAATTATTTAGAGCTTCCTTTTTGATAGATATTTTCAGTGTGTATATTTATATGTGTAGAATATGTCCTAATAAAATAAGCATGTTATAGTAAAATATTAAAACTTTCCATCCATTATGGAGTAGGGCATTGATAAGGATTAATTTATCAGCTGCAGTTCTAGAAAAAAATAATTTGAAGAAGCAAATTGTCTTTCTGGTGATAGGAATACACAATGAAAGTAGGAAAAGAAGAAAAATTAATATTGCCCTTTATCATTGTTTTAGCCCTGAAATAAAGACTGTAGAAACTTAGTTTCAGAGACTCAAATCAAGAAATCAAGTGTTGTAGCACTGAATTACAGCTTCCTTGGATTCAAGATATCCAAATAAACAAGGCCACTGGAGAAAAGAAAAGTATGCTTCATTTAGGCAGATTATTCAGCAGGTTTACTTATATATTTGTTAGATTCATATCCCATTTTCTCAAGTAATTTAAGGTGCCTTTCTCTAAATCCAACATTTCCCAGAACAGAATTTATATCTTAGGGGCACTCGGTGTTTATAATTTGATCAAATTCTAGTTTGATCTCTCTGCATCGTAATTTACTTATTTGCTTTCCTTTGTTATTTTTCTGTTGTGTTTATTAATAGCTGTAACTTATTCTTTATTCTTCCATCAGGATATTGTACTAAAATTGCACAAAACACAATAATGTAATGTAATGTAATGCTGGTCAAGAGAACAGCAATGGATTTTGGCAAGTCCCTCACGGTTCAATGATGTAAATCTACTTGCCATGTTACAGGCTTTACCTGTATTCTATTCTGTACAATCAAAGTACAATCTACTTATTTCTTCAAAACTGGCCCTCAATCTGCCTTTTTCTTCTGTGCTTTGCAGTAGCACAACTAGAAGGCTCCTATGAGCAGCTCATCACTAATCAGAGCTGTTAAATTAAATTGCTCTAACTGTATTTTATGAGATTCATAATGTTCACAGGCAGAGGCACCCAGAGCTCCATTACTGACCTTTCCTGGTGAGCCTTCCTCAGTCAAATGTTTCTCTTTTATCCAATTGGCTGGAAACCAGGGCTTCTCTTACAGTTATTCCCTCTCTGTCACTTCTAGGCCTTAAGGATTTGTTTTAAGTCCCTCACCCAGGTAATGATTTTAAAATTCCTGAAGTCCATTCTTAGAATGAAGCTGGGAATCTGAGGTAATGTCAGTTAACAAGGCAGGGCTCTAATGCACAGATGGAATTGACAGCCCTTTCTCTGTGGAATACCTTCATAAGCAGATATTGGAATGTTGATGTATTTGAACTTCTGTGTCATTCACTTCCACCTTGTGTGCATGTAAATAAGCTTAGTCCATCAGCAAGTGAACACTTTATTACACTTGTATACCATTTTCTCTCTATGACAGAAATCAAGGCAATAAAAAAATAATCAGAACTACCAAAAAAAAAAAAACACCATGGAAAAATCCTGTTAAATTGAAATAAAAATTTACAAGATCAAGCACCTTGTTTGCCAAACTGGGCAACTGGACATCTCTTGGAAGGCCCAAACAAATGAGGAAAGCATACTCCATGCATGCTTACACCTATGCCTCTATTTATAGCTACCTATGCCTTAGATATCATCATAGTCATCATCAGGATTAGTAGCTACTTAGATTTGAACTTGTCCAATTCCCTTCCACCCAGTGTGGATTGAGACCTATGTAGCTTCAAAAATAGGAATCTTCAGGTGATGCTGTGGAACTTTGAAATTATCTATCAATAGACAACCAATTGATCTGTCTTCCTTCCTCCTTATTTACAGAATGGAACAAGTTAAATTTGCCAAGAAAATGTTTCTCCTGCAGTAGTTTGTGTTATCATCATATTTTGCCCAAATACATAATCTGAGGCTGGAAGATAATATATATTCCTCACCAAGACCTGGGGGTCTGCTCTTCAGAATTCCTAAAGAGAGTACCACAAGACTATACAGGTTACCGTGATGAAAGTAGTAGTAGTAGTAGCAGCAGCAGCAGCATCAGTGGTAGTTTTTATAATCATTTAGTAAGGGTCAAAACTATTATATATATGGGATTGTATTAACCCTACATTATATTAGATTATTATATATTATCTTTCATTAGTTTAATGTATTTGTTACCTTGGAACCACCCCATGGCAAAATAACTGAAAAGTAAAGAGGCAAATAGCAAAGACGTGAAAACAGGAACTGATTTGACTCGTAAAAATCAGTCTTTTGTGCTATTCTGTGTAAAATTATCACGAGTGGTATGCCTTATATCTATTTATCAATTTTTCCTTATATCTATTTATCAGATTTTTCAATACTAGTTCTAGATAAGGCTATACTTCCCCAGACAGAACTGTTGTGCAATTTCCAGGTTTCTTAAGTCCCACTGCTTAAAGAGTTGGAGTGTGACTAAGAGGAGATTTGCATAAATTTATTTTATGTGTCTGTTGTGCTCATTTCTGGATTAAAAGACCCTGTTCTAATCACATATACCTTAGTTACCTCTCATTTGGACTATTGTAATTTGTTTTACATTGGATTTGAACATTTGAAGATCACACAAAAGGCTCAGAACATGTTAGTGGGAAGAGCTATGGGTAAAATTGGGTATGAACTACTGGTATGCTCTAATGTGTAATTCAAAGTGTTAGTGATCACCAATACATGGAAGAGTTCCAGGATATTTGCAAGACAGTTTGTCTCTGATTATTTTTGCTCATTCTACAACTTCCAAGATGTTCCAAGACCCATCTTGTGAACAATGTCATATCATGGAACCAGGAGATATGCCCTTCTGTTGCAGTGCCTGCCTATAGAACAGAATTTCCCCCATCCCAAGACTTCAAACAACCCCTGCTAGCCTTTGAAAGGTCCCAGAAAACCTGTTTTTTCTTGAAGGCACAGGACCAGGATGATGTATAAACCAATTTTAATTATATGTTTTGTTTCACACTGCATTGTTTTTAACTCTTATTAGCCATTCAAAGTCACTTGGTAAGTGGGCAGTCATATAGTTAATTGGTTGAATGATGAGACAGACAGACAGAGATGTGATTTGCTGGGTGGAATATATGAGCCGAAGGCAATGTGATACATCAGTGGCCCCCAACCTTTTGGGCACCAGTGTTCTGTCCCCGTCCCCACACACACACAAACAGCCAGCCTGTTGTGGCCCCACCCTCTGAGCCTGTCCCATCGGAGGAAGAAAGCTCCTAGCATGAGGAAGAGGAGTCAGCCAGGCCTCCCTCTCCAGGCCCCTCCCCTCTGGCATTGTCTCAAGTGCCGGCCAAGGGAGAAGAGACAGCTGATTCAAATCAAAGTAATAATGAAACATCATTCCTGGACGCACGCCTCCGAAGGCGTGATAAACGTTTGCAGCAGCTTGGGAGGCGTGCTAGGGATTAGAACTGAGTCACTGGACCACACCCCAGAGACTATATAATAGAGGGTAGTGGTCAAGGATCTTTTGTGACGAACAAAGTAAACCTTGGACAGTCACTAAAGCCTCGTCCGGAACTGCTGGGAGGAATATTATTTCTGTTTGGACTTTCTTGAACGTTCGTATCTTATCTGTCTGTTTGTGAAAATAAAGTCCCTTGGCAGACGGTGTGTCTATCGCTGCCAAGAGGGAGATAAGAACTGGGTGCGTTCCAAAGTGTTTCCTTAACCCTCGGCTGGCTGTGTTGTGTGTGTGTGGGGACGGGGACAGATCATCTTGTTCGTCACCCCATACTCCATCGTTAACCCACGATGGACCAACAGCTGCAGCAGCAGATACAGCAGATGCTGGAGGCCAATCAGCTTCTGCAACAGCAAGTAGCACAGCTAACTGCCCAACTTGCTTTGGGAAATGCTCCTGCAGCTCCACCTCCTCCCCCTCCCCGTCCGAGATGCCCAGTGAACGTGCCAGATAGGTTTTCTGGGCAGCAGGAGATGTTTCCGGCCTTCTTGGGACAATGCCAACTGTTTATGGCGATGAGGCCGGAGGATTTTCCGGATGACCGGGCTCGGGTGGCATTTGTTATCAGCTCCCTCTCTGGCACTGCCGCCTGATGAGCCACGCCCCTGTTGTTGCAAGATAGCCCCTTGCTCCTGGACTTTCAGGGCTTTTTACAACACCTGCGCACCATGTTTGAGGACCCCCTCTGGGTGCAGATGGCAGCGAGGCGCATCAAGGAACTCCGCCAAGGCAAGCGCCCCCTGCAGGACTATATTGCAGAGTTCCGACTGCTAGGCCAGGATATGGCTTGGAATGAGGTGGCGCTGATGGATGCCTTCCAGGACGGCCTTTCCGACGAGATGCAGGACGAGCTGGTTCGTGTGGAGGCGCCACCGACCCTCGACGCGCTGGTGACCCAATGCCTGCGCATCGACGCCCGCCTGCAACGGCGACGGCCCCGTCGGGCTCTTCCGGAACCATCGACAGCGTCGGCACCCCCGCGTTTCGCACCGACAGCGCTCCGGACCGCACAGCGTTTTGTGGCGACGGCTGCGGAGCCCATGGAGCTCGGAGCAGCCAGACCTCAACTGACGGCCCAGGAGCGGATGCGGAGACGTCAAGGGGGGTTGTGCCTCTATTGCGGCGAGGCGGGACATTTGGCCGCCTCGTGTCCCCGGAAGCAGAGTGGACCGCTCAAGCCTGTTCCGGAGTCTCAGCGTGACCAGCCGGGAAACGGACCAGGCCTGGCCTAGGGGAAACTCTGGGTCAGGCACATGACCATGCCCCGCCGGAGTCGGCGGCTGTGGACTGTGAGCCCCCTCGGCACCTGATTTTGAACACCCGGGTGTTGTTGGCTAACCGGTCGGAGGGGCTCCAGGCGCACGCGCTGGTGGACTCGGGGGCCACCATGAACTTTATGGACCAGGCCTTTGTGGCCCATTACAAAGTCCCCTTGGTTCCAGTGGACCCTCCGTTGAGGGTCGAAACTATAGATGGGCGGGAACTCGTGGCGGGGCCCATCAAAACCGCTACCCAGCCCTTGCGCCTCGCCATTGGGAACCACGAGGAGGCAATCCAGTTTTACGTAATGGCGGATCTGCACTTTCCCTTGGTCCTGGGGATGGCCTGGCTTCGGGCGCACGACCCTCAGGTGGCGTGGTCGAGAAACGCCATCTCGTTCCCGAGCCTGCAGTGTGTCGACCACCTTCGCCACACCTGCGCCGGCCAGGACGTCTCTGCCCCAAATGTCTCCTTGCCTCCGGAGCTGACGCCCTTCGCCGACGTGTTCAGCGAGAAGGAGGCGGATCACTTGCCCCCGCATCGACCCTACGACTGTGCGGTGGACCTAATGCCCAACGCGCCCCTGCCCTCGGGACGCCTGTACTCCATGTCGGAGCCCGAGCTGGCCGCCTTACGGGACTTTCTGGAAAAGAACCTGGCCCGTGGGTTCATCCGGCCTTCGACCTCCCCGCTCTCGGCCCCGGTCCTCTTCATTAAAAAGAAGACGGGGGACTTGTGCCTGTGTTGTGACTACCGGCGCTTGAATGCCATCACAGTGCGAAATCGCTACCCCCTGCCGCTGATCCCGGAGCTGATGGAGAGGTTGCGGGAGACCTCGATCTTCACTAAGCTCGATCTCCGAGGGGCTTACAACCTGGTGCGTGTGAGAGAGGGGGACGAGTGGAAGACGGCGTTCAGCACTCGGTATGGACACTTCGAGTATACCGTCATGCCGTTCGGGTTGACCAACGCCCCCGCGGTCTTCCAGCACTTGATGAACGATGTGTTCCGGGACATGCTGGATCGGTTCGTGGTGATCTACTTGGATGACATTTTGATCTATTCCCGGACCCCGGAAAGTCACCTCCAGCATGTCCGCCAGGTCCTGCAGCGCCTGCGGGAGCACCAGCTCTATGCGAAGTTGGAGAAATGCTACTTCTTCCAGACTTCCATAGAGTTCCTCGGGCACATCATCACCCCCGAGGGCATCGCGATGGACCCGCACAAGGTGGAGGCCTTGCGCAGTTGGGAACCCCCGCGTCGGGTGAAGGACGTCCAGGGTCTGTTGGGATTCGCCAACTACTATCGGACCTTCATCCCGGGCTTCGCCACTCTGACCTTGCCGTTGACCCAGCTCCTTCGGAAGAAGGTCCCGTTCCAGTGGGGGTCCCCGCAGCAGCAGGCCTTCGAGGTCCTCAAGCAGGCCTTCCTCACGGAGCCAGTCCTGAGGCACC